CGAGAGGGAAGAGGGTCAGAGGGAGAAGCAGACTCCCCGCCGAGCAGGGAGCCCGGTGTGGGACTCGATCCCGGGACTCCAGGATCATGACCTGAGCCGAAGGCAGCCGCTCAACCAACTGAGCCACCCAGGCGCCCAGGCGTCACCGTTCTTAAAGCACCCCCACCCTGCTCCATGAGAGCAACGTGCACTTAAGGTTGGGAACCACTGACATACAGCATCACTTATAGCCTTCAGTGCTTGTATCAGAAAATAAGAAAGGAAGAGGGTTAATGATTTATTCTTTTTTTAAGATTTTATTTATTCATTTGAGAGAGAGTGGAGTGGGGAGGACAGAGGGAGAGGGAGAATCTTGACTGCCTGCTGAGCGGGGAGCCTGATGCAGGGCTCAATGCCAGGGTCCTGAGCTGAAGCCAGACGCTCCCACCCAAGCACCCCAGAAGGTTAATAATTTAGGGAGTCCACCTTAAGTTAGAAAAGAATGGCCAAATAAAGCCAAGAAAATTAGGAGAAAGATCAAAGAGCAAATAGCAACATAGGAAACATATTAGAGATGATCCACAGAGCTCAAGGCTTATCTTATATCTTCTAAAAATATCAGTTCTAGGTAAATTAACAACTTAAATGTGAACACCAAAACTATAAATGTTTTAGAACAGTATAGCAGTTGGGGTGCCTGGGTGGCTCAGTCGCTAAGCATCTGCCTTTGGCTCAGGTTATGATCCCAGGGTCCTGGGATCCAGCCCTGCATCGGCTCTCTGCTCAGCTGGGAGTCCGCTTCTCCCTCTCCCACTCCCCCTGCTTGTGTTCCTTCTCTCGCTGTGTCTTTCTCTGTCAAATAAATAAATAAAATCTTGAAAAAACAAAAACAAAAACAAAAAAAACAGTACAGCAGAATACATTTATGATTTTGGTATGGGAAGAATTTTTTCAAAGAAATCACAAGCCACAAAGAAAAGGTAGATAAATTCACAACATTAAATTTAAGAAATCTCTTTATGTCAAAAGATAACCATAAAGAGAATGAAATGTCATGAATTGGGAGATATATACATATTTGCACTATATATTATTGGAATATATGAAGAATTCTTATGAATCAACAAGAAATTGACAACCCAAAAGAAAACAGACAAAAGACAGGCACAGAAGTGGAACCTGAATGCCCAATAGGTATAAAAATATGCTCAACCTCATTAATAATTAATGAGAGGCAAAGTGTAAGTACAATGAAATGTTATTTCATAACCACTAGGTTGTCAAATAAAAAAACAAAACAAAAAGACTGACCATCACATGTTGGCAAGAATATTGGACTATGGGTAACCTTGGCTGTGGAAGGGTAAACCAGAAACGATCATTTTGGAAGACAGTTGACGCTGCCTAGTTTCCCTGAATATTCCTACATTCCAGGATCCAGCAATTCCATCACAAGGAATATATGTTAGAAAAAGTCTTGGATCAGTGAACTTGAAGATGATACAGGAATCTCCATAGAATACAGCCTGCACACCTAAAATCTGGAAACCAGCTACATAATTAACAATTGAATGGATAATTACTTTGTGACTCAAACATACAACGAAGTATTATATTCCAGTGAAAAAGAGTCACTATCACCTAGTCCATCAACCCAGATTCTTTTGTTAATTGAATGATGTAACACCCAGAAGAACTCTGTATGATTCCAATCCCTAAGACTCCCAAACTGGCAAAACCAAGAAATACATATGTATTGTTTAGGGGTATATATAAGGTGGTTAAACTCTTAAAAAGAAAAGAAAGAGAATGATTAACACAAAAGTCGTGGTTATGGAAGGGAGGGAAAAGCAATTGGGGAGGAGCCCACAGGGCCCTGTTCAGGTACTAGTAATACTCAGGGATTAATAAAACAGGTGTCTTCTTTTTATTTATTATTTAAATGGTACATTTGTTTCATATATTCTCTATCATGTGATATAATTCACAACTGAAAAAATAAAATGCCAGGAAAATGTGTAAGACCTGAGATAGAGTTAGGGTTGAGAAAGAAATGTTATCCATTGTTAACACTCACTCTAAAGACTGCACCTGACCTAAAGCCTCGTGTTTCTTTGTGGGTGTCAGATACCACACGAGGTCATAAGTGCAGTCTATCGCTGCTGAACGGCGAGGATAAAGTGCAGGATGGAAGGCAGATAAAGCAGTGGGAACCACTCAGAATTAAGTGGGAGGCAGAAAAGGGAAGAGCAAAGGGCTGCTGGCTACAGGCTGTGATCAAGATAAAACACACTTGGTGCTCTTAGCTGCGATTCACATCAGCCCGAGAGGGGCTCCCAGAGGGAAACATGTTTCTCACACCCCATGACAACTTGCTGACCACCTGAATGTGAGGGGTGAGCATCAGGCGAACAGCAGGCTCCCGCTGTCCACACCATGCTTTCAGAGATACCTTCAAGGCTCACCTCAAGGCTGGGAGGGCTTGCCCCCAAATCCTCCCACCTTCCCCCTCACGCTCCATGCACGCTCGGTCACTCACTGCACGTGCATCCATGAGTATACCCTCTGACCAGAACATACAGCTCTCAAGACCAGGCTCTTCCTCTTGGTCACCTAGGGAACAGCTGGGGGCTGGACGTGAGGACAAGAAACCACATTAAGTAGTTTACAGGCAATTCCTGGTACTCCATAAACTTGACGTTTCCTCAGGAAACGAGGCACTGATTGGTGGTGAGCTTGACACGTGACCTGAGTTTTGGTCTTCTTCGTCCCCTGGAGGCTGCCCTCAACCTGAGAGATTTTACCTGCCTTGGGAAGCCTACGTTGTCAGGGCACATACCTCAGCCTGTGCCCTCATCCCAACCTCAAGGGTCTCTTCCTTGCCTTTTCTACATACACACGTTCTCCTGCTGCTCCACTGATTATGCCCTACTCTATCAGTTACCGACCTTTTCTAATATAGATTCAACTTCTCCCTTTCTTTTGGCTCCATCTTCGTGGCATAAAAGATTGCTCAGGTATTTCTTATGTATATAGAAACTTGCAGCCTCCACAGTCATCACCCCTCAGGTGACTTCCTCCTCTTATCACTTCTCCATCACAGCCAAGACTCTTGAGGTTGTATTTTATTCTCCTTGTCTCCACAAGTCAGGCTTCCACCCACCAGACTCCTAAAATGCCCCCTCTTACCATGTTCCTAACCACTTGTGACCTGACCTTCTTCTTCCTAGGCTGTTGGGCTACATCTTCTCCTCTTTCCCCACCTCACAGACATTTCTTCTCTGTGTTTTACCACCTTTTCGTCAATGTCGGGTCCCTTGGGTGCTATTCCCAGCCTCCTTCCCTCTATTCTCATTCCAAACATCCTTCCTTTATGACCTTTTTCCTCCCTAGTTTTCATTTCTTCTTCCTTAGTTTTCATTTCTTCCTAAGAGCAAATGATATTTATTTATTTATTTGAGAGAGAGAGAGAATCTCAAGCGGACTCCCTGCTGAGCACAGAGCCAGACACAGGGCTCAATCTCACGACTCCAAGATCACGACCTGAGCCAAAATCAAGAGTCGGACGCTTAACCGTTGAGCCACCCAAGAGCCCGAGCAAATGATTTCTGATCTATAGCTCCAATATATACCTACCTGCAGTAGGTGCTTTACAGTATGAAACCTCTACTAAAATGCCCAGCATGTAATTAAATACCTAGCTCTAGCATTAAGACTGGATGTGGCATGAGTTTATTTGATACCACATTTTTCACAGAAACAAAATTTAGAAATCATTATTTGGAAAAAAAAAAAAGAAAAAAGAAATCATTATGTGGGATATTAGGAAAATCCTAAAGTGAAGACTTTGAGAACAAAAGGTTGGCAAAATTCTTTGGCTTTGGAACCATATTATTCATAAAATAGTCTTTCTCCATAATGTGACCCATTATACATTTCAGTTTTTCTGAACTGTGAGCTACGATACAGATTAGGGGTTGGTAAACCATGGCCCACAGGGCAAATCTGGCCCACCATCTGTTTTTGTAAATAAAGTTTTATTGGAACACATATCCATACATTCACTTACATACTGCCCATGGCTGTTTTCATACTCTAACAGCAGAGCTGAGCTGTTGCAACAAAGACTGTATGGACCACAAGGCGTAAAATATTTACTCTGGCCGTTTATAGAAAAAGTGTGCTGGCCTTGATATAGAGCAATACATTTTTCACTGTCAACATATCCTTTTATTTTATTTATTATTTTTTTAAATTTTTCTTTTAAGTAGGCTCCATGCCCAATGTGGGGCTTGAACTCATGATCCTGAGATCAAGAGTCGAATGTTCTACCAATTGAGCCAGCCAGGCACCCCTTAAGATATCCCCTTAAAATGATAACTTGAGGGCGCCTGGGTGGCTCAGTCGGTTAAGTGACTGCCTTCGGCTCAGGTCATGATCCCGGAGTCCCGGGATCGAGTCCCGCATTGGGCTCCCTGCTTGGCAGGGAGTCTGTTTCTCCCTCTGACCTTCTTTCCTCTTCATGCTCTCTCTCTCTACCATTCTCTCTCTCTCAATAAATAAAAAAAAAAAAAACTTAAAAAAAATGGTAACTTGTATAAATTGTATTTTCTAAGGGTAAGGATAAATCATGGCTGTGGGACCACCCCACCCTCAATCCAGGTATGAATGCAGGCAGGTTACATGGTAACTAAGAAAGAATTTTTCTGAGACTTAGCTGAAAGAACCTCATTGATATTACAAAATATATCACTTAAGTGGCTTAAATAACAAAAGGCAGAAAATTGTTGAGCTATCTGGTACTATCTGGCCTCCTAGGATGACTGAATGTGTGTGTGTGTGTGTGTGTGTGTGTGTGTGTGTGTGTGTGTGTGT